GATGCCATGTAGGTCAGTCTATGTGAGTCAGTCTATGTGAGTCAGTTCGTTATAAGCCTTCCACTGCATAAAAACTCATCCTATATTGGTTGATTCTTGGTTCTGCCCATACTCATTGGAGTATGTAACAGACAGGCTGACTGACAGATTGACAGACAAACAGTCAGATGCAAATCAGTCGATGAAAAATGGACCAAAACAGTCTGGTACAGTCATGCGTTATCATTGGAGATGTGTTCAGCGAACAGGACGCGGCAAACAGACACACACACACACACACGAAGATAGACAGACAGACAGATAAACAGACACAAAGTCCGACCAAACAGTCTGGTGCAGACATGCTTTTTCTTGTCGAGTTGCGTATAGCGAACATGAACAAACAAACAAACAAACAGACAGACTAGGAGGAGGGGGAGGGGGGTCAGCGTTTCCACAGAGGTCTCTTTTGGGTCAAACTACACAAGAACGACTTCAGCATAGCCCAGGAAGAAAGGAGTAGTGGGAGGAGGAGAAAGGTCTGTCTTTTTTTTTTTTTTTTTTTTTTCAAAGAGGAGGAGAACATTACCTGTCGATTGAGCTGAGTGGGATCGTGGCGGCTCCAGAACACGTCGAGAAGTGTTTCCAGAGACGTCTCTTTCGGGTCGTACTCCACAAGAACGACTTCAGCATGGCCCGTGTTGCCACTGCATACGTCTCCATAGCTAGGCGTATCTATCAACCCCTGCGCATATCCGACGGCTGTCTTCGTGACACCTGGCACGCGCTGGAATGCCAGCTCCACCCCCCAGAAGCACCCTGCTCCGAACGAGATGAGCTCGCATCCGGGTGCCGGGACTGTGTCGTCGGGCTCGAGGGCGCGACTAGCCTGCTGCTGCGGTTGCACGCCCGAAGAGGCAGCGGAACCTGCACCGCTGCCGCTCTTCCCTCCCAATCCTGACAAGAAAGATCGCCACCCCCCCGATGCCATTGCTACCACCCCCTGACTAATCGAGCGACTGGGACTCGCTGAAGACGTCGCTCCATTGGGCGAGAAGACTCCCCCCGCCCGCTCCCTTCTCCCAGCCAGCCCCCTTGCGCATGACAGCTCGCCTCCCCCCTGCGGAGTCGCGATCCTTGCGTCCCTACCATCACCGTTCGATGACACCGAAGACGTCCGTGCTGTCGCAGCGTGCTGGCTATCAATTCGCAAGCGGCTACCTGCGCTTCCGCCGGAGGTGGCGGGGGAGGCGGAGGGCAGCGCGCACATGCATGCGCGACAGCTACGACCACCTTGCGCACGTGCGGACAACGCCGCAGTCGCACAAGCTGCTGTGCGGAGCACCGCGCTGCCCGACACGCTGCACATTGTGCCCGCGGGCATCGTCCTCACTTTCCCACGATTTCCTGCCTGTGTGCCAAGCCGCTTCCTTGCCTGGGCACGTGTCCCCCCGTCCTCCCGCCTGGTCAGAGTGGCCTCACCTCCTTCCCTTCCCGCCCGCGCTGTGCCGCTCACTTGTCCCACACGCAAGCCCCCACCTCCTTCGTCTGCCACCCACACGAGGCCACGTCAAGTCCCCACGCAAGTGCATGCAAACAATTGCCCACACTCCTCAAGCCACGATGACAGTCTTCCCCGCACTCCTCAAACTGATCACCTTCCCCCGCGCTCAAGCCCCAATGACTGTCTTCCCGCCTTCCCAAAACCGATGCGCTCGTGTGCTGTATTCCCGCCTCCGGTTCCACCTGCCGGGTACACCCCTGCAATGTTTCAACCAATCCCAAAAAGGAGGGGGGGGGGGAGGAAAGTTTCAGCCAACCAAAAAAAGGAACAAGTTTCCGCCAACCAAAGCAGCAGACGGATCACCTCCTTGTAGCCATTCAGATGATGGAACTTGATGAGTAAAACCAAATATTTCTGAATTGCCTGGGGCTGGTCAGCTCAATGATGCTATCTCAAGACCGTCGTCCTTTTTAAAAGTAAAAAAAAAAGAATTTTATTTGGAGGTAGAGAATTCGGTTGCAATGTCTCTCGAAAGTCCGCAAATTACCCAGCCCATGTGGCCGAAGGGTACACAGTACGACACACATGTGATTGATAGCACGAAAAAAGAACGGAAATGTGGCTTGAGTGGTACACCCATGTAACTGTTGATAAAATAGGTCATGGGTTCGAACTTCGAACCTCTCAGGTGATATAATAATGTAATCCAGCTTACCCCGTATGTTTCCCAGTTCTTTTATTTTTTTGTTTATTTTTTTTGTCCCAGTATGTTTTTTTCACACTCATTTTTATCCTCGTGTTACGATCCTGGCCAATTTCGAAGTATACATTCATCAGAAAGTACAATGCCATCCAATTGCAAAAGAAATGAATGAACTTGAGAGGAGAGAGAGGGATAGAATAAGAAGAAGAAGGAAGAAAGATGAAGAAGATGGTGTACTCCAGCATAGACAAAGAGAATGCTCTTCTTCTTCGCCAACCAATCTCCTCCTCCTTATCTCCTCCCCTCTTTTTTTAGTTCAAATAACAATAATAATGTTGAATGGCTGAACCAGAATCAATGTCCGAATCCCTCTTCTACTGCAGGCACAACATGAGGTCCACCATAGCCATGGCCACCCTTCCTCTTCCTCTTCATGTAGGCCGAGGCTATGGCGGAGTACTGAGGGTTCTGCCCTCCTGTCCAAAGGACAACCCAAAGCAGCTATATCGCTGCCCTCCTGTCCCAAGGTCAACACCAGGCAGCTTTGCCGCTGCCCATTCAGCCGCCATGCCTGACTCTGTCCCGAGCTTCCTTGATGCGGCACTACCCCAACTAGGGCCTTCCAGATGCAGCGCCTAACAAGGTGATGAAGATGGTGTCCACCATAGCCAGGTAGGTACCTCGCCACTCTCCTCCTTGGTCCTCTTCTCCCTCCTACCGGTAGAGCTCCACCATAGCCAAGGTGGAAGCTCCCGGGCTTCTTCCTCCCAGCAGCGCTGTGGTAGCCAGCGCTCCTCCAGCCAGCGCTCCAACAGCGTGTCGCCAAACTTGCACACTGAAGAATGAGGCCGGGCTCTTCCCTCGGCCTCTTGATATAGCGGCCTACTTGCCTCCTGGGCGGTGACTTCCAGGCCGCTCGGCCTCCCAAGCAACCGGTACCTCCTCCCTTTCGGAGGGAAACATCATTGCAGACTCTGATATTGCCCATACAGGCTCTAGACTCAGACTGGATGGACTGGTACCAACCTAGACCTAGCCAACGCTACTGGGCCTCTAAAAATGCCAACTTTGTCTTCTTCTGCTCAGCCTCGAGTACCCGGCACATCTACTGCTACTGGGTGCGGTACCGGCCTACCTGCTACTTGAGTGTTTTTCCGCTGCTCTAAGTGCCGCGGGCCTCTGGCTCCGCTACTTGAGTGTTTTCCCTGCTGCAACCCTCAATATCACGGCCACAGGTAAGTACCAGCCCTACGGGCCTGCCAAACAAGCAAGTACCCTTGAGGGTCACACACACACACTCATGCCGACAAGCACTCAGACAGGCACGCAGGTCAACAAGCACGCACACAGACAGACTTAGAAAACGCAGCAGAATGCGGGAATCTCAGCATGGCATCCATTCCATCGGCAGAACTTCAGAAATCAGCAGTGTTCTCAGTCTGTGTTATGGCGGGTCATTACACTCGTTTCTTT